CCTGAACCCAGGTTCGCGCAAGAGAGGGGGGTCGTGACAGCTTCGTGCCTGCTTCGCAGCGGCACGCCTCAGGCGACATCGGTTTCGGAGTGCGGGTGCGAACTGAGGTTCCTCTTTGCCCTCGGTCGGCAGGGCGTCTTGCAATGCGTCTGACACTGTGGTTGCAGGCCCACCCCGGCGCGGGTGAGAGAACACAGGCGGCGGCAGCGGCAGCAGCAGTGCTTCCCCTGCACAGCACGTCTGCCTCAGAGGCCCCCCTATCAGAGGCCGTGCATGCAGCAGTGCACATGTTCTGCGCTGGGTCCAGGAGGGCGGTCACTGGGTGCGAAGCGCGAGCGCCGCCGCCAGGGGAGGAGGTGGGGGAGGAGGAAGAAGAGAGTCCGGGGGCAGGGGAGGGGGGGGGAAGGGGCGGGGGGGGGAAAGGGCCACAGGGGACGAGCAGCAGCAGGGAGTGGAGAGGGCGAGGAGGGGGAGGGGAGGTCGACGGAGGAGCGAGGAGGGAGAAGCGAGGGAGGAGCGAGGCTTTTGTTCACGGGCGCCCTGCCACCAGAGAAGAATGTCAGCCGCTGGCTGGGATGCACTCCGCCGCGGGACCTGGGCTTCTGGAGTGGAGTCCTGCGCCTGGGCTTTGCCTTCCGAACGGCCTGTTCGTTCGGCTCTGAGCTTTTTGAACTGGCCAGGGGTCGAAAAACCTTCCACGGCAAGTTCGTGTCGTGTCGACCCGGGCGATGGTTCCTGACACCGCGGGGACCGCTCAACCCTGAACGATCGGCCGTTTCCGCAACGTCCGATCGTTCAACCTCGTCCGATTCTGGGCCGCCGCCGGCGTTCCACGTTGAGCGCCGGCGGCGGGGTTGCCGCCGGTCGACACGACACGAACCTACCGTACGGCGCATGCACAGAACTATCAAGGGGCCCTGGGACACACAAATGAATACACACAAATAAAAGGATTCCCCATATTTTGCCATATTTTCGGGGTTTCTGTCTTCCCCCCCACTTCCCATATTTTCCCATATTTTCTGGGGAATCGAGGATTAATTGTGTCTGTGTGTTTCTTTCCCTCCTGAAAACAGAACTAGCAGGCTGCGGCACGACGGCCCCAGCGCCGGGCAGAAGTGCTGCGCAGCGCCTGCACCAAAAAAGGAGCGACAGAGGGCCCGACCTCTCCAGGCACCCAGCTCGGCAGCAGGAGGAGAGGGAAGCGAGGGAGGCACCAGCGAGGGAGGGAGGAAGAGGGAGGAGTAGGAGGAGGAGGAGGAGGAGGAGGAGGAGGAGGAGGAGGAGGAGGAGGAGGAGGAGAGGGGGGGAAGCAGGAGGGGGGCAGCAGGAGGGGAGAGAGCTGGAGCAGGAGGAGGAGGAACGAAAGAACGAAAAGGGAGAGGAGGGGAGGCGGCCGGTCGGTCGATCGGGCCGAGGGGCTCGCCCAAGAAGCCGCGGCGCCGTCTGGGGCAGCCCAGCTGCCACCAGGTGGAGGCAGATCTGAACCGGAGGTGAGGAAGGATCGAGCGTGGGGTAGGAAGGCACCAACTATACACCAACACCGATCCTGGCCCAGGATCACCCTGGGCCCAGGATCGGTGTATACGCCCTCCTGCCTTGCGCACGAAGGCATATACACCGATCCTGGGCCCAGGGTGATCCTGGGCCAGGATCGGTGTTGGTGTATAGTTGGTGCCCTCCGAGTGGGGGCCGATGCTGGGATTCTGTGGGATGCCGTGGGCGCGCGCCACTGCACGAAGACGCACACACACACACACACACACACACACACACACACACACACACACACACACACACACACACACACGCACACACACACACACACACACAACAGGAGGGAGAACAAAAACAGCCCTGCCAGTGAGGATCGGCTCGAGCCGGCAGGTGGAGGCGCCGAGCTCCACAGCGCCGTCTGGGGTCCCCCCTTTGTTGGAGGGACCGCACGGATGGAGGAAGAAACGGCATGAGCATAAACTGTTGGCGCTCCGCGCGGATATCTTGGATTCGCGCTGGGCCCTCTCCCCAGCGCGCGGAGCGCGCCAGGGGCGGCGCCGGAGGCGCCGCCGGGGAGGCCTGGCGCGGATGCAAATGAAGTCCCCGCGGAGAGCCGACAGTTTGTATGTTCAGGCCGCTCGTTCTTCCTCGGAGGGGTGGAACTCGAAAATCCACAGTTGCGCTGCGGCACTCCCCGCCCCGCCCACGAGGAAGGCGGCGCGGAGCCCGCCCCCCGTCGGCCCTCGGCCCCAGGGCGCCCGCCCACGCCTCGAGGCCCGCGAGCCCCCCGGACCGCGCAGGCCGCACGTGGGCCCCCCGCGGACCCCCGCGGACCCCCGCGCCCGCGACTGGGACCCCGTGGCGCGAGGGAGAGCTCCACTCGGAGGCGACGATATGGGCGAATAGCCCAGGGGCGGGCATTGCACGCATTCGCCCGGGAGCCTTGTCGAAGACACAAATAATCGGCGCCCCTGGATGCATGTATTGCTCTCCCCTGGGCTATTCGCCCTTATCGTCGCCTCCGATCCACCCCCACAACAGGGGAACAGAAAGCCACAGAGCCAGAAACTTGCTTTGGAGGTCCGCGCAGGTCGCTTGGATCCGCGCCGGACCCCCTCCCCAGCGCGCGGAGCGCGCGGCGCCGGAGGCGCCAACAACGGGGGGGGGCCCAGCGCGGATCCGAGAAATCCACGCGGAGCGCCCAAAGTGTATGTTTATGCTAGTGGTTCTTCTTCGACACAAGACGCAGACCTCCGCTGGGGGGCGCCGCGGCACAACAACGGCGGAAAACCTTCGGCAAGTGTCGGCCACCGCCAGGCTAGATGACCAAGGACGAACATCCACCCCCGGGGAAGGGGTCCGGATCTCCGAGGGCGTCGTCGGCGAGGAAGGCGCTCTGGCCGCTGGGAGGGCTGAGGGGGCGCGCCGCCCGCTGGGAAAGACGCGCGCAGGCAACTACGAGGGTGGGGGCTGCGGTGCCGGTGTGCCGTGGGGAGGGGAGGGGGAGGGAGGGGGGCGCTCTGCCTGGGACCGGGTCTGGTCGCGCGGGAGGGGGGGCGCGGTTCCCGTGCCATACCGAAGCACCAAGGAGGAGGAGGAGGAGGAGGAGGAGGAGGAGGAGGAGGAGGAGGAGGAGGAGAAGAGGAGGAGGAGGAGGAGGAGGAGGAGGAGGAGGCGAGGTGTGATTAGCAAGCGGCCTAGAACCAGGTTCGGTCCGACTAAGCTGGCCCGCCGTCGCAGGCCCCCGTTGAGACCCCCCCGAAGTCGTCAAGGGGCTCGTCTGGCCCCTCATCGGCTTCCATCTTGAGGAGTCTCGGCCCCTCCGCTCGGATCCTCTTCAAAACCGAGAGCCCTCAGCACCTCTCGGCTCGGGACGTCGTCCCCCCAAGGTGCCCACCCCCCGAAGACAACCGTCAACGCCCGCGTCCTGAGCCGAGGAACGGGGGGCCGACTTGCCGGGGCCAAAAACGGCAGCCCATCGAAGACGCACCTACATCGGACCCCCTTCGGTAAGGTCGAGGCGCAGGTCCTTCAGACCTCGCTTATACAGCGCATGCCCCGGGAGGCACGGCCGAAGCAGGGCCCGCGTGGGCCTTTCACACGAGAAGAAGGCGCCGCAGGCGCAACAACAATTGAAGACGCATTGCCATCGTGGCCAAACCTGGCCGTCACACGCGCGTGCAGCACCGGGTGGCCAAAGGAACTATACACAACGTCGCGAAACCACTCGAAACCCTCGGCTGGCTGCTGCGGCGGATCCGCGTCAGCGGCTTGCATAAGTCCCCGGGAGAAAAAGTTTGTAACAAAACTGGCACAAGGATGGAAGCCAAAACGATGTTGAATCAGACGAGGCGGGGCCCGTCGTACGAAGCGACATCGGCCTGGCAATGTCAGGGACGTCTCGTCTGCATTGCGCAGTGCACGTTAGCCATCCGACTGTGGGAACGAGGTCGCACGGGAGAACGTGAAACCGCCCACGCCAGCGGCCCTGTGGAGAATCAATGTGGAAGAGCACCCGGGCATTAAGTGGCGTCCGCCTCCCAATGTCGCCACCGGGCGCGCAAGCCAAAGCATGGCATATCAATGACCTGGCCCATGGTCCACGCCAGCGCACGCTGCCAACATGGAAAGGCGAATGTCACTCAATGATCCTTGTTGGGCATTGCCGTGTGCACATCATTCAAGACGATCGTCTTGTTGATTTTGTTATAACTTTTCCCGGCTGTGTAGGGACAAGATGAGACGCGCCAAGCGGCGCCGCTAAGGGAGCATCTTCCTCAAGGCCCTCTCGTCCCGTTGAGGACTGCTCTATGAGGCCTGCGTGGTCCTGGCCGACAGCCCTTCTCGCACCAACCCGTGCACACGCCCACTCCACCGAGGCTTCCCTCGAGGCTTCGACCAGACCACGCCGCAGATGGTGCTCGCGCTCCCCCACTCCATGGAGGGCAGCACCTTGCTTTGCAAACTCATCTACGGCATCGTTTCCTCGTTTCTCCCACAGCTTCGTGCGATCGTCGCGCACGTCTATCATACTACAGCAGGCCTTGGTCGTGTTGGTCGAGAAATCGTTGGGCTTGAACGCCACCCGGAAGGGGGGCCACATCTGGGCTGTAGGATTACACGGCACAGCCCCAGTCCCAGGACCCGCCCAAAGCGTGGGCACGGTTCCCTCACAATCAATGTACAGGCTGAACGGGGGCATGGCTTCCTGGCAGAGCATGCTGAAAGCAAAATCCTCAGCCTCTCACGAGGAGGAGGAGGAGGAGGAGAAACATATGACGGTGGAGGGGGGGATGGGGAGATGGGGCGACGAGAGGAGGGGGAGAGATCAGGAGGGAGGGATCAGGAGAGAGTAAAGGGGGATAGGGAGGAACAGCAGGAGGGAGGAGTAGGGGGATGAATGAATCGGGGGAAGGGGAGGAGGAGGCGGATGCGGAGGAGGAGAAAGATAGGGAAGAGGCGGAGGAGGGTCTGGCGGCTCCCCAGGCGGCGCTGCGCGGGGCCTCCATCTCGCGGAACAGCTCCTCGGCGCGGTCGGGCCACAAGCGCTTCTCGCAGGCGCTGATGAGGGCGTTGTACGTGAAGGCGTCGGGCACGACCTGGGCTGCTGTCTTCGGCGGAGCTCTTTGTGGGGGTACGAGGTGAGGGCTGTGCCGAAACGGAGGTGGAACCGCATGCGAACCCTACCACTGGGGCATTCAGTGGAGCTCCCTATGGAGGTGTCGCCCCCATGCGGGCTGTGCCACTGGGGCCTTCGGTGGAGCTCCCCGTGGGGCCACGAGACGTGTGAGTGGTGTGCCGAAACGGGCGTGACGCCCACTTGTGAACTGCAACTCTGGGACTTTGGGTGGAACCCCCTGGGCCACGAAACATGTGAGGGCATGCCGAAACGGTAGACTGATGCGGAGAGCAGAGGCAGGGATGGGAGGAGGGAGGAGGAAGGAAGGAAGAAGTGACGCGGGGCGCTGTCTCTTCAAAACGAGGACCCAACACCACAGGATGGTTGGGAAAAACTGCAAGAGCTTCACATTTTGAGGGCGGGTCGATTCCAAAATGTGGCTCTCGCCTTGGCGCCGTGCACAGTCGTTTCAAACAGTTGCCAGAGTTTCACTGAGGGCGGCTCCTTTTTCAAAATGTGGCTCTCGTCCTAGCGCCGCGCACAGTCGTTCTAAACATCTGCAAGAATTCACTGCTTCCCATGGCTATCCGAAACGGTGTTTCGGAATGATTCAGGATGACCAGCGAGCAACAATTATGTTCATTTTGCGCGGTTCAACACGCAACAGACAGGCTGACTCGTGGCGCTGAAGTCCTGAGAACGGTGTTTCGGCACGCTGCACGATTGTCACAAGGTTGTCCCCCAACGGGACACGTCCCTCAATGGAACCGAATCCGTATAAGGGGCCCCTGAAGAGGGAGCCTGGGGGAGGGCGTATTCAACATCGTTGATGGGCCTTGGGCTTGCACTGGTCCTCCTCCTCCTGTTCCTCCTCCTCCTCCTTCCCCTCCTCCCCCATCCCTTCTTCTAATATAAAAAACCGTCACCGTGTCGCACCCCCAAGGATGTCGGATCTGGCGGGCCAGGCGTGTCGCCTGAGACTTCCCTCCTCCCTCCTCCCTCCTGCCTCCTCCCTCCTCCTTCCTCCCTCATGCTCTCCTCCCGCCTCCCTCCCCCCCTCCTTCCCTAGCATTGATGATCCTGAGGCTTGAAGTTTGCAGCAGCTTCAAGGATGGAGGGCGGCCCGTCCTCAAAGCGTGGCTCCCACCTCAGCGTCGCGTACAGTCGCCGCAAAAGTTTGCAGCGAATGCAAAGATGGAGGGCGGCCATGCTCGAAATGCGGCTATCGCAGTAGCGCCGCGCACATTCGTCGTGAAAGCGTGCGGCTGTTAGGGGGCCACATGCGAACCCTACCCCTACCCCCCCCCACACACGATTTCTGAGGGGGAGGGTGGGGGTCACTTCGCTCGGGAGCTCCCGAACGAAGTGAACCCCACCCTCCCCCTCAGAAATCGTGGGAGGGAGGGGTAGGGTTCACATGTGCCCCCCTAGCTGTTTCAAGGATGCAGGGTGGTTCCTTTTCAAAATGTGGTTCGAGCCGTAGCGCCGAACACATGCCGTTGAAAGCTTGCACCGTGTTCAATGTATACATGGTCGAATCCCACGACTGCGGTATGGCAAGATTTCGGATATGCCAGGGCGCAACAGCCACAATGGTCCGAACTGCTGAAGTCCTCAGAATGGTTTCTGGCACGATTCAGGAGTACCCAGAAACAACTATCACGTTGATTCGCGGCGTTGAAATCCCATGGGCAGAAGTTCTGGCACGATCGAACAATATTAAGCGGTTCTCGTCCAACCGGAAACTTCCCTCAATGAACATACAATGATTCGAGGGACCTGTGAAGAGCGCATTTGGGGGGGGGGTTCTTCCAACATCGTTGATGCACCTTGGTACTCTGGTCCTCCCCTTCCTCCTCCTCCTCCTCCTCCTCCCTCCTCCTCCTCCTCTCCTCCTCCTCCTCCTCCTCCTCCTCCTCCTGCTCCACCTCCCCCTCCTCCTCCTCCTCCTCCTCCACCTCCTCCTCCCCCTCCTCCTCCTCCTCATCCCCATCCTCCTCCTCCTCATCCTCCTCATTGATCCTATTCCTCCTCCTCCAGCTCCTCATAATAATCCTCCTGGTCCTCCTGCTCCACCTCCTCGCTCCGCCTCGCTCCTCCTCGCTCCTCCTCGCTCATCGGCGCCCAGGCCCCCGCGCCCTCCCCGCGAGACCTTCGCCTCCTTCATGTCGCGAAAGAGGTCCAGGGCCATCC